TATGGCTTACAGATATCTCAGATATTTAGCGTCATAAATAAAACTTTAACTGAACACTATGTAACCCAAAGGTTTCATGATGGGAAACTCCCAAGCCCAAAGTCCAAATCTGACAAATTAGCCACCACTGAATACCAAGTAATACTGTTGGAAAATTATTTAAAAACAAATTAGTGCTCCTGTGTTTATTCTAAAATAGTAAATTCACTGCTTAAGATGAATATGACTATACATTAAACTAAGGCTAGCATGTGATTAATAAAAGAAGAATACTTTTGATGTATTGGTGTGGGTGTTTTCAGTAAAGCCATGACAAGGCTGAGTCGCTGCCCTGAGCACCCAGGTCTCCTAGTTGGTTTACGTGGCTGGGTCTCCAGTTCCTACCCGAGGGCACCTCTCATCCATCTCTGGTCACTTCCCTTCCTGTGTTAGTTTTCTGCGATATTTATGTTTTACTCTCCAGAATAGAAATTTCCTCTTGGGAATTAGATGCTAATGGAAATTGTTTCAGCATGAAGAATTATAAGAACAAACATTGACAACGCTCTTGATCAGACTACTGTTATAAAAGGTTTAGTCTCAAGCACAAATAAAGAGATTTGTACACAGGTATCAAAAGCTTGAAAACATCTTAGCGGAGCTACCGAAGACCCAAAGTGTACTTTACCAGTCTGTAGGGAGTGAGTGTATGACTCTGTATTTCATTCAATGATGAGAATACGAGACGGATCTGAAAGTGAAAGCTGGATAAGAGTGAAAGAGGGAAAATTATAGAGTTAAGAAATAGTCTTGGAAAAACAAAGGGATAATATTAAACAAATTATTAATTAGTTACAAAAGAACTTCTGTTAGCTGATAACTTCGGGAATTATATTTCAGAATATGCTATTGAAAATACTTTCTTTAAAATTGTAACATCTCTACAGATTTTTTTTCCAGTTGGACGTGGTTTAGAGTTTGGAGTTGCTTCAAGCTATTGTGATTTCATTGCTTCCTAACTTCAACTTATACCCACTGACATTCAGCATAAACTCACAGTTAACTTGGAAGTATCAAAATGCTTTCTGTTTTTGTTTTTTGGTTTTTTTTTAGGTCTTCTCTGTACTTTTCTTCTTTTTGTAGTTTTTTCCCCTTGTGGGTGAGCTACATTCTTTTTTATTCTACTAGGGGTACAATGATAAATAAATTCAACATGATTCTTATTCAGATGGGTTGGTGGTGGAAGAAAGAGTAGGCAAATGAACAAACAAAAAATATAAATAATTATTAGTTGAGAGACATGTTTAAAGGCACTCGTTACTGTGATAAGAGAAGAGAGAACTCAGGGGGCAAAGTTTCTGTGAAGAGGTGACATAGGAGCTGCAACATGAACTGTTAATAACGTGTTAACCATATGAAGAGTATTCTGAATGGACAAAAGCCCTAAATTACACTAACATAAATGATGATGGTGATGAAAGTCCAGCAGAGAGAGTGAAGAGGATCGAATGGGAAATGGTTATGTTGGCGAGACAGAGTGTATATAATAATACATAGGGCTTGGTGGGCTATGCCTATGTATGTTGATTGTGGCACACACGTCCAAATTTCCAACAGGACACTTTTCTCATTCTAGCCTAACATTTGAATCCAGTTTTACAATTTACCAAAGCATCTTTCAGTGCTAAATTTTAGAGAGGAAAAAAAAAAGACTACTTCTTCCAAAAGATATTTTTGGAAAAACCAAAATATTTTCATGTGCATTAATTATAATTTCATTTATTAAAATATACTTTTAAGTAAATGTCTTCCTTTTTATACTCACTGCTACTAAAATTCTGTTAATCTTTTAGCTGTGAAAATACACAAGTTGCAGAGATCGTTTTGTCGTTTCTCAGATGGTTTCCCAGGGAAGGCTTTACTTTGTATCTGATCTTATCTGAATTCACCTGGGAGTCAGGAGACAGTCCTGGCCCCAGAATGAATTGCTGTGAATACTTGGCCAGCTCTCAAAATCCATGTATGACTAGCACTTTGAGCTTTCTGTAATTACAGAAAATTCTCAACCTATAGGAATTAGCTTCGACTGATTCTCATTTATAGCACCCTTGCAATTGCACCTGTGTAATTATTTATAGCACACAGAGCAGCAAGAATACAGCCTGTCGCTCAGACTGCCTAGATCTTAAGCATCGCCACATAAAACTTGGACCCCTGGGCTATGTCCTTGGGGTCATTCTAAGTACCTAGTTCAAGTGCACCATCAATTCCTGGATAGGAATTAACCACTTCTTTGCATATTGACCAGTCCTTTTCCAGCCAGGCAGTTCTTATATAATAACAAAAATATGTATTATAGTAGATATTATGTATGTAAATATTTTAAAATTATTATTTATAAATTCAAAGGGCTTTTGGTTACAACAAATACAGATATTTGTCTTTTTTCATAGTTCAGTAATTACAGTGTTTGCAGTTATGTTGGTAAAATGTTGGTCAGTAGGTCCTTGGGTACCTTATGTACTGTCTACTGCAATGCTTTACCAGAAAATGAAAATAGCATGGCCATATTAGAGTGTCCTATAGAAGAAATAATATGCAATATGTGTAAAATCTCTGGTATATAGTCAAGTTACGAATAAAACAAGACTATGTGGATCACTTTTTAAAGGAAGCACATAACCTGAGTGTTTATTTAACTGGTTAAAAAAGTAGATTAATCACTTAAGCTCTTAATAGAATTATTAAGATGATTTATCACAAATAGCCTGAAAAATAACCTCATTGTTTTTCAAAATGATATTTTAAAGATAAATTTCTCCAAAGTATGTTTTAAGAAACTAAGGGAAGGGATATGTCAATGTGAAAATATACTTAAGACAAATAGCTAATACTTTCACTAGATCATAATTTTAAACTGAACCTTCCAATAATCATGCTAAAAACCACTGATTTTTTAAAATCTCGGTTCTCAGGCTTCATTGTTTGTACCTTAAACAGCAATTGTTAATTTTTTTTAGTGTTTACTAAGCCCCAGATTTCATGATAAGCACTTTTAATAAACTTTCTGAATTCACCTTTACAATAGCTTCTCTAATGTTAGTTTTGTAATTGACACACTTTTTTGTGCATTTGTTTGTTGTTACAGAGCCCGCACGTGCATCTCAGCTAAACCTGAACTCTTAATCCCTATGATACATTTGCACACTTCCACTGACTGCATTCTTTGTCATAAATATTAATCGCTTGTCAGTCTTTCTCGCTCAATTTCACACCCCTTAAGAACAAAAATATATTTCATTCATTTGTATCTCTGACCAAGTCTAGTTAGTACATTCCTTGAACACAGTATGTACAAAATGAATACTTGTCAAGTACTAAATATGCTTATATTAAAATTCCCCTTAACTTTACTTTCACTCTAGAACTACCAAGATATCTTTTATTGGTTAAAAATCTTTCCTGCATGTTGGCAGTTCTCCAGTTGGCCAGGAAGGACGCATCTCTGCAGGCGGACACAGCGCCGGAGGGAAGTTCACTCTTGAATTGGGTCTTTTTGCCACATGATTGTTACAGTATCGAAGTTACGATCTTTCTCTCCCTTCTGTAACTAAATGCAACTCCTCTCTTTGGAAACTGCTGTGGCCCTGACCCTCCTTCCTTGACCAGCCTGTCTGCCTCAAGGGAAAATGACGACCCTCCATACAGGCCCTCCACCCTGGGTCACTGCTGTAGCCCCTTCTGTTCTTGGATTTGACCTCCACCAACTGCCTCTTGCTTCTCCCTTGGTCGTGGCTTCTAGTGTTACAGCACTGGAGATTTTGAAGTCTCTGCTGCGGAATTTCACATTACTCTCCCAGAAGTACCATTATGCCTATGATTAATCACAGACTTGTCTGCATTTCCTTTACTCTGATGTCATCTGACACATATTTTGGAGAAAAAAAAAATTGAAGTTTCAGTACCTGTATAGATCTGTCTTATTTTTAAGAAGCCTTTCTCTGGGCAATTCAGTGGAGGGAAGGAAGGGCCATTAGGTAAAAGCATCATCTCAAACAACCAAGTTGAAATGGATGTCACTCAAGGACAGGGTGACAACAAACTTTATTATTCTTGTATTTGATATGTTTTTTTGATTCTCAGTCACATTCCTTCTGTGAACCAGAGCTCGTGCTCTTCTTTCTCTTCTCACTTTCTCTGTAAAATTAGGGTATATTTCCTCTAGTCTCCACAGAGTTCTAAAAATTGCCTGTTTCTTTTTTCAAAATAATGGTTACAAAAATTATTTAAATAGTAACTACTAAGTAAAAATATTGATTCATTAGGAAGCTGGAAGAATGTGGTTTGTATACAGATGCCTAAAACCGAAAAAAAAATTACAAAATATGATATAAACATATGCTTTCAAAACTTGGTGAAAAATACCAGCTAAAACAGCTGCAATAATCGAATACAGTTACTGAGGAGCAGAGCACGGAGAGCAGGGGCGTGACGGGTGGAGGACAGCAGGGTTTCACTCTACACTTTAAGTACAATTTGTGTTTTTAAATGATGTGCACATATTACCTGGATAAGAGTAAAAATAAAATACAACCTCATAGAATTCTATAAAAACAAAATCACTGGTCTTCATAAGGTAAGAAATGTTACAAAGAAGCTTTAAATATGAATGAAGGATAACAGCAATGAAAGCATTTAGGTTAAAACTTTACATGCTAAATATATGTGTGCAGTGCGTAAGCCAGCCTAGGTCAGCTATTTTAATCATTCTGACAAAACTTTCAAGCAAAACTACACAATTAAAGTGCAAATGTGAGGATTCTCCCTTCAATCATTGTCCAACTATATGATTATTTGAAGACATGCCAATTAATTTGGCTCTAGCCTCTAAAGACAAGTATTTGCAAACTCTATGTAAACTTAATTAAATGACCACATAAAAGATATCATCAGTATCTCTAAAATTATTAAATCATTTTTGAACAATAACAAAGCACCACACTTCAGTTTTTTTCCTCAATTTTTATTTAGAAAGTTCAGTGAAACAACATGGTATCACAGCTTAGAAATAGTTTAATCTCACTATAATTTAACATTTTAAAAAAATCTAGTCATTTTTGATTTTCAACAATGAAATTTATAAAAATAATTTTACATTTATAAAATGAATCATTATTTCACAATAAATTATTCTTTCTTATTACCTGAAAACAGTTTTGTGCTATATGAAAGCAACAAGTTTCCTTATCAATGGTTTGAAAATATGCTGAAAACTTCAGTTCCCCTTTGTCCAGCATTTTTGGCAGTTAAATATACAAAAATATTATATTACACATTCCCTGACCATACTTAAGACAAATTCATTAGCAATGATTTCTAAAACACTGCTGCAAAGTAAATAAATGCAGACAAGTTAGAGGGTTCACTAAAAATGAATTATGTTTTTTATTTTAAAGGTTTTTTAGTATCTTCTAAGAAAACCACGCAAGAAATTAAACCAAAACTACAAAAGATATGTCCATTTATAAAAATCAAAAGCATTTTTATTCATGAAATAGAGACTCTAGTTTAAATTTTCAAAAAAAATGAGTTACATTCTTTTTTCTGTCCTAACTCTCTCTCAAAGATATATTTTACAGTTTCCAGGTACCAGCTCTTAAAGGAATTTTGATTCTGTTAAATCAATGATAGCTTCTAAGTAATCATTTTTTCATTTTAAGAGTTATTAAGTTAGTTCAACATTAACAGAAGCTTTTTATTTGCAGGGGAAGCGGGGACTATGAAATTATAATCTTAGATATTTTGAAAGGTTCTATTAAAATCATTTAATTCAGTCTCTTGCAGCTTGGGAAACCCTTCCTATACAATAATTCCTAAAAGTTTTTCCCTGCTTCAGCAAATAAATTGTGTGTGTATGTGTGTGTGTGTGGTGTGTGTGTGTGTGAGAGAGAGAGAGAGGAGAGAGAGATATCACTGTTTCTCAAGCAGCCCATCATTAACTGTTTTAAAATAAGCTCCAGCTTTAGATAATATCATTTTTTCTGTCTCCAATGAACTATACTCCTCAGCCCACTGGATTTTTGAAAACGTGCTGAGTCCGTGATTTAAATTTGTTTTTGCTTTCATCATAGCCTACCTGGTATATATTTTATTTTCTGTAATCTGTTTAAGAGTTCGTTTCGTACTTCCCAGAGAGAAGACTCATCGAAAGTACAGAAGTGGTTTCTTATTCTGAAACAAATTTACATTCATTACTTACATGGAAACCTGTGTTACAGGTAACACAATGGGTAATATTCAATCATCGTTCAATTGCATATATTTAGAAACCATAGTAAGAGGCTCACATTTGCTTTACAACCAAAGATTTTTTCTCATCAAAGTCAGTCAGACCTGGGCTTGAATGTGGCTCTCCTACTCTTTAGGTTGATGAACTTTGGTTACGTGACTTAACCCCTCCAAGCTAAAGCTTGCTTTATTTATAAAAGAAATGAGGCAACACGTGTGACAGATGGCTAACTTGTCTGCAAATATCCGAAGCCCAGACACGTTCAGTTTTAGTTGGCGCAAGGGCTTTCTATCCAAAGACTACCCTCCGGGCCTCCCTGGGAACTAGATGTGGGCACCTGCTAAGTTCTAATCAATGGATGACAACTTCTAGACTGACTGAGGAGAGGGAAACAATGTCTGTTTTTGTTGTGCCACTCTTTTTAAGAGTTTCTTTTTTACAGTTTAGCTTGTATCCTATCTGTTAAAACTAACATGTTTTATCTTAACATACATCTTCAAATACCAGCAGATTTCAAGGAATACCCAGGCATCTTTGGAATGCTTATTTATAATTTTCTAAACTTATTATAGGCAATATTTAACTGTGGACCAAAAAGATGCTTCTTAGCCACAGGATATCCTTAAGTGATTCTTCAAAGAAACACACTGTATTCTACAGCAACTGCTTTGTTTTTCAAGTTTGCAAGGTTTAAAATTTATTTAAAGAGTTGGTTCATTTAATATGAATCTGGGATTTCTGATCTACTGTTCTCGGTCAAAAAAAAGAATGCTTAGTTCCGCATCACATCACCATAAAGCAATTATTTACAGATTTAAATTAATAATAAGACAACAAATGAAAGTAGTACATAAGATTCCACTGGTTCAGGCACAGTACAAGGGAAGTTGGAAAACATATACTATATGAACATACAGAAACTCAGATATACATTGGTTGCGTCTAAAGGTTTTAAACAACAGCAACAACAAACGGCGTGAGCATATAAACAAGAAAACGGGATTCCACCTTATACAGCACCATGAAGGAGCCTTGGCTAAGGGTCTGCCAAAAGTGCTATCCTGAGATATCGCAAGGCCAACACCTTTTCACATTTCTGCAGTGCCGTCCAGAAGTAAACGTGTTCTCACAATTGCTTGTGTTTGGAGAGAGGCTGGTGTGAAATGACCGAAGCTTGGTTTGCAGCTATTTTGTATGGTTCTTGTCCAGAGCCTTGAGGTGGGGAAGGAAGTGGCGTTTCAGGAGTTGCTAAAAAAGAATCAAAGAAGTCTGTGTGATGGTGACAGTCACCCGGGCCCATCGCATTAAATCTTGCATGACTTCAATATGCATTCCTTTATTTTGGGTAAGTTTTTAAGAGATCATGTATAAAGTAGTGATTATAATAATTTATATGGTCACTGACATACTGTTGGAGATGCGCTCCCACCTTACCTCCCCAAAACGCATTAAACTAGAATAGATTCATGCTTAAAACTCTCAGTAGTCACTTGAAGGTGTCTTCAGCCTTTCCTTTTGGTGTTGATGAACATTTGATTCTCTTACAAACTCAGCAGAAAAAAAGTTAAAATAAAAAGAATTAACAGAGAGGGAAGGGTATAGCTCAGTGGCAGAGCACATGCTTAGCGTGCACCAGATCCTGAGTTCAATGCCCAGTACCTCCATTTAAAAAATTAATTATTTACAAAATAATTAATTAATTTAAAAAAGAAAAGAATTAACAGAAAGCTTGTTTTCCTCCCAAATTTAGAAAACAAATTTTATAGTACTTGCAATCAATAAAAGCACATCAAATAAAACATATTTGGCTTAGGTTTCACTAACTCAAACATGAGATGACATAAAAAAATTAAGGAAAGGTAACTTTTCAAGGGCTTTGAAATCTATGTTGTAGTTAAAAGCATCAGAAAAAAATACTGACTTTGTAACTTCAGAATAATTTTCTACAATTATACTTGGCTGTCCTTTCCCCCAACACAAAGAGCATTGAGTAATTTTTAAGAAAAAGCAGTTACAGTTTGAATACTGTATTGTCTATAACAGCATTTCCTCCTATTGCAAATTTTACCATATCACAAAATAATTTAGGAGTCATTCTATAATTCTGAAAAACGTGAAATACCCCCGCAGTCATATTCATTATTATTCCATGTATTTATTGGAACAAATAGAAAATGTCTGATGATCAGTCGGAGGCATTACAAACTTTATAGATTTTTTTTCTTCCAAACAGTTTTTAAATATTCTATACAAAAATGAGAATGGTCCCTTTTTGCCTGGTTTTCTTTAATATATTAACTTTATATATTTAAGTGTGAATTAGCAATTAGTTAGAAACGATGTTTTTAGATATAATTTAATTTGCAAAAGAATCACCAAATTTGCTTAAAAAATTATTTCTAGATATTTAGGATGAATCTAATACTGCAGTAGCCTACTGTAAAAGACCAAGAAAATATGCGTGACCTCAATTTTTGGTGTGTGCTTGTGTTTAATGTTTTGCTTCGTGTAAAATATAAACTGTTCCACATGAGCACAAGCAAAGTTTTCCTTTACAAAATGAATCTCTTAAATATTATGTTGAAAGGGACAAAATAAAAATAAAAAGTGTGATGATGTGATTCTAAAAAGATTAGGGTTAGCAAACATGCTTTTAAAATACTAGAAAACTAACATTTAAAAAGTAAAGGTTTCAACCTTCAGCAGAATGGTTAAACTTTCTTGCCACTTGATGCCTACAGTGTTTAATGTAATGTTAATGTGTTTTATTTCCAAGTTTATGAATAACTGATCTCTAAGAGACATGACTTTATAGACTCTTTGGTATGGTATTGGACTTGCCTTTCTCTGCTTTTGACTATTAAATAAATGAAAATGGTAACATTTGCTTTGCAGGAATGGTCTCAGTATGGGGGTTCCTCAAAAAATTAAAACTAGAACTACTATATGATCTAGCAATTCCAGCCCTGGGTATATATTTGAAGAAAACAAAAAGACTAATTTGAAAAGATATATCATCTCAATGTTCCCAGCAGCATTATTTACAGTAGCCAAGGTATAGAAGCAACTTAAGTGTCCATCAACAGATGAATGGATAAAGAAGATGTGCTGTGTGTGTGTGTGTGTGTATATATATATATATATATATATATATATATATATATATATTACT